ACACGAACAAGTTGGGCCGGGGCATCAACATGTTTTCGTACTATTCCTCAGAATCATTTTTTAAATTGGTAACACAAACGATTATGTACACAATCTAGCTAGCATGAACGAAATAGGTTTCAGTCTAAGGCACCGATTATTTTAGTTACGAGTTTTAAAACAGTGAACCATCTCATTTGAAACGCGTTAACTCACGTTAAAAATTTTGAAATTCTCTAAACTAATGTCAAATTTGGCTTGCTCAAAATTTAATGGTTACTCGAACTAGAGCCTAGACGATGATTTACGGACGGTGGTCTTCGAATTTTTCATTTGCCTTTCCAATACTCAGGGTTGGTCCATACCTAAAGCTCAGCAAGCAAATGTTTTAGGCAGCAAATTTTATATCAATTTTAAAGAGAACAATATTTACAGAAACGTCTTATAGGTAGACGGTGGATGGTTCGATCCTTGGCAACCGAAAACATTAACTATTTTCTATGTTTATTGATTGTAAATGGACATCAAATTTTATTGGGCTTTAGACATGATTAGTCTTTGGGCCGGTCCAGCCAGCACAGCAGTACTGATTATAAAATAAGTCACAATCTTTTTATTCAAAAAGGTGAACTTCATTCATGTATCAAAGATTATAAAGTAATAAAGATGTATCATACATGTATAACTCCAAAAATAGTGGAGAAATGGGTACCTGTAAATTTCCATCAAATTGTTAGTGTATGTGTGTGTTTCAGTATTTGGTCGTTTCATGCTACGCACGATATGCTATCAAAGTTAGAAAACGATTTCAGGATGCATAATTTATTTTAGAAATAATTCCTAGGATAGAACACAATTGTATGTTTATTTCTAGAATAGAACACAATTGGAGGTTTTTTACAGCCTCAACCAACCTTAATCCTCCTGCCCAGTTAATGGACTGTCTTATCTGGCTCTTATCTCCCTCAAGGGATAAAAATATTTGTCTCATTATCAGGCTTGCCTTTCAGGCTTGTGTTTATGCAATTTGGAGAGAAAGAAACCAACGTCTCCACTCCGGCGTCTCTCGCTCTACTGAGTCTATCTTGAAGGACATCCACCTCACCATTCGCGCTCGTCTGGATCCTTTGTCTCGCAGCACGGCGCATCTCCCTAACGCTCTGTCCTTGCTAGGAACTTGGTTTTCTCTTTTCTAGTTCAGGGATGTTTGTTTTGGTTTTCTAGTGTTGCAGGTTTCGTCTTCCCTTTTGTTTGTTGCAGGAGCAGGTTTGTTCTCCTGTCTTGGGCCTGTGGCCTTTATTTGGGCTTTTGCCATTATATGTTTTTAGTTGAATGGAAAATTATGAATTAAAAAAAAAAAAAAAAAAAAGAAACAGAATACTTTTTTTTTTTATTACTCACATGTTTTCAGTAGTTGTGTAATTACAATTAACATTCCTGATTAGTTATAATTAATTATTATTATTTAATTTGTTTTAACTAAAATTAAATGAAAAAACAGTGATTATACATGTCATCAATCCATGTCATTAACATAATCCACGTCATTAATCAACTCCAAAATGCACAAACGTTTCGGTTTCTTACTGTTCATCGGCGGAAAAAAAACTCTCTCTTTCTTTCTCTCTCGATAGGGAACGAACTCTTCACCCTATTCCGACGCAGTTTTCGCTGTTCTCGTCTGTTCCGACCGAAATTCATACGCCGGAGTCTAATTTCTGGTTTCGCGAAGTCACATCCGACATCTGGAGTCGCATTTCTGGTTTCTGGCTAAGTTCCGGTAAGTATGATTCCAAACTTTATTTCGAATTTTCCGACAAGAATCCGACATCTAAGTTCAATCGCAAGTGATTCCCGTCACTGAAATCGTTTTCCGTTGCTTAACGATGGTTTTTAAGGTCGTCATTGATTGACATATGGTGGCCGATTTGTTAGATCTATTTGATTTGACGGCTGAGTTACTGTTTGTTTGCCGACTGATTTATGATTTATCAATTCATCTGTGTCTGAGTTTGTTTTATGTTGTGATTGAGTTATGGTTTAACCTTACATCGATGGCTGAGTTTCTGTTATATGACGGCTGAGTTTGTTTATGTTATGGCTGAGTTTCTGTTATGATATGGTTGAGTTTTGTTTATGTTTTGACTGAGTTGTTGTTATGTTATGGTTTGACTGAGTTTCTGTTAATATATAGCTGAGTTAGATTTATGTTATGGCTGAGTTATGTTATGTGTGGCTGAGATAGGTTTATGTTATGACTGAGTTATGTTATCTATGGCTGAGTTAGGTTTATGTTTTGCCTGAGTTATGGTATTTGTGGATGAGTTTGTTTTATGTTATGGCTGAGTTATTGAATGCTTACGGCTGATTTATGGTTATACAGATGTCTGAAGACCAAGCAAGGGATTACCCTCCAAGACTTTACCCAGAGGAGGATTCTAATCTGGAGAGTAAAGGCATTAATCACAACATAAAGCTGGGAGATTTCCCTGCAATTAGAGAATCAATAGGAAAAGATATATGGGAAGAACTGAAAGAGACACCGCTTGGATTAATTGCTAAGCTTGTTGATAGTCATTTTGTATGGTCTGGTAAGACTGTACATTATCTACTATGTAGACAGCTGAGAATACTGAAGAAGGAGCTTTGATGTATCGTGGCTGGTCAACCCATCCAGTTTGGATTGAACGAATTTCAACATATCACGGGTTTAAATACAGATCAACTACCTACATAAAAGTTTGAGCCTGAAGCTGACTACAAAACGTTCTTCAGGGAATTGCGTGTGCCAACCGGTGAAGGTCCTATTCTAGATGAACTTAGGCAAGGCTTAGTAATGTGTAGAGCATGACCTCCTGAAAAGCGTAGATGGTTTGGGTTATTGACTCTTCTATCCATTGGACTTTATGGCTTGCATACTAACTCTAGGATACCATTTGAGAGTGCCAAAAGAGTTTTCGATGACGAAGCCATGAAGACTTATTCATGGGGTTGGGCAGCATTTGAAGCCCTTGTCGTTTCTATAAAGTTGCTGAGGCCTATTGGCAAGACGTACACCGTCAGTGGTATGGCTTTCGTGTTGCAGGCTTGGGCGTATGATTCAATCATCACCATCGGCGAGCATTTTGGGAATGTTCTAAAAGCGGATGAGATTTCGTTGCTTAGATGGGGTGGCAACCGTACCACTGTAACAATAGAATCGACCATTGCTGAAGATATCAAAGTGAATGGTGGTGAGGTACGGTTTCGGCTCTGTTATGATAGTCATTGACTGAGTTATGTTCTGTTTTTTATCAAATATTTATGTTACGGCTGCGTTGTGCTCTTTTATCACTGAGTTAATGTTTTGTTTTTTTGTCAAGTATGTTACGTGACGACTGAGTTATGATCTGTGAAGGCTGAGTTATGTTTTCTTGTTTTGGCAAATATGTTATGTGACGACTGAGTTATGTTCTATAATGGCTGAGTTATGTTAGGTGACGGCTGAGTTATGTTCTATAATGGTTGAGTTATGTTAAGTGATGGCTGAGTTAAACATACTGATGGGTTTTATTATCTCTTGTGTTGTAGCTGCGTGTTCGTAAAATGGTTGAAAAGGCTGAGTTAAGCGAGCTGTTTCATTCTTGGCCAGACCAATTAGAAGACCCAACACTCGATAACTTGATCCAAGACTTACATGAGCTTAAGCTTGTTAAAGGTTATTGAGATGTGAAGACGAGTGAGAAAAAGAAGAAACTCTTAAAAGATAAAGAAACGGATGTGTCTGAATCTCCCACAAAGAAGCTGAAAGTCTCTCACAGTGAGGGTGTTCATTCTCATGAGAAAAATGCACAAAAGAAGAAGAAGAAGAAGAATAAGAAGAAGGAAGTAGCTGTCGAATCTGATGAGGACGAGGACGAGCAGGATGTTCAGGGAGAACAGCAGTCGCTCGTGGATGTGGTGTCCAACTTGATCTCTCCCTTAAACTCAAGGTTTGACACCGTTGATAATAACATCAAAGATATGTCCTCCCGTCTGGATGTGATTGGAGTTCAAGTAGAATCGAGGGTTGAAGCAAAGTTTGAAAGAAGGTTTGCATCTATTGAGAACGATGTCAAACAAATTAAAGAGCATCTAAAGGGCATAGCTGACTCAGAATTAAACTCTACTAGTTGTATTAGAGATATGTTTTTACCCAAAACACAGCAAGGCTACCTTAAGCCCCGAACTCAACAGACACCAGACGGTCCAAAGAAACCTACAAATAACCAATCTGCTACTAGTCCTCCGTCGGTAAACTTTTAGTTAGTTATGACTGAGTTATCTTCATATTATACGGCTGAGTTATAAATTTTAGTTAGTTATGGCTGAGTTATCTGAATATTATACGGCTGAGTTATAAATTTTAGTTAGTTATGGTTGAGTTATTTGAATATTATACGGCTGAGTTATAAATTTTAGTTAGTTATAGCTGAGTTATCTTCATATTATACGGCTGAGTTATAAATGTTAGTTAGATATGGCTGAGTTATCTTCATATTATATGGCTGAGTTTAGTTAGTTATGGCTGAGTTATCTTCATATTATACGGCTGAGTTATAATTTTTAGTTAGTTATGACTGAGTTATATTTATACATAGGTATGAGTTTTCGTTATTTAACGCCTGAGTTTTCGTTACGTTTATGCAGTCGAAACAAGCTGTAATGGTAGAGAATGATGCTGATATTGCTGAGGTTGGGGTAAGTAGGAATCTTGAAGGAGAATTTGCTAAGGCCTCCATCGTGTCTGATTATGATTTCATTGAGACTTCTCCTCTCAACCGCCGTTTACGCTCTACGACGGCAGCGGGGAAAATATCCAAAGCGAAGCCACCACCAAAGCAGAAAAAGGAGAAAACATTAAATGAGCTAATCGAGAAACCGCCAGAGAGAAGAAGAAGAAAGGCTGCTGCAAAGGAGCCTAAAAAGGTGCCTCCAAAGGTGCCAAAGATTACAATTAAAAACCCAAAATCATCTGAGGAAGCTAAGGAAAAATTTGAGGAAGCCAAGGACATGATTCTATACTTGATGTCACTGATCAGGTTGTATCTGAGTATAATCAAATGGTTTCTGAGTCTGATGAAGATGAGGAGGAAACCGAGAGGCTGCAGAGAGTAAAAGATGCGAGGATAAAAACTGTTAAGCTAGCCCCGGATGGGAGGTCATTGATTAAACCCGATCTAATGAGCACTAACAGTTTTCCAGTCATTGGAGACAACGGGCTGAGCTGCATGAGGAAGGGTTGTCTGCCTTCACGAGCAATCTATGATCCTCTGGCACCGGTTGATCCGGCCAAACTGCAGAATCTTAAGGCTTATTTGTCAAGTCCCGACTGGTATGGCCCTTTATACCTTAATAAGTTGTTAAATACGACATGTTTACACTATTTGTTTATATTAACTTTCTTTACTATTTGTTAGCAAAAAATGGTTGGAAAGTGGGATAGACGAGGCGCATTTCTACTTTGTTATCATGGCCGAAAGAAAGAACTAGGCAGACCCCAAACATGGATGGCTGGGTGATGATGTAAGTTATTGTTATATTCTGTCTGAATTTGTCTAATGTTATAGCTGAGTTATCGTGTCGTTCTGTCTGAGTTAAAGTAGATAATGGCTGATTTACGATGTAAGTTATTGTTATATTCTGTCTCAGTTTGTCTAACGTTATGGCTGAGTTATCGTGTCGTTCTGCCTGAGTTAAAGGACATAATGGCTGATTTATTTAGGTGTTAAGGCTGAGTTTTACTTGGTTACGGCTGAGTTAATGTTGTGTTTTGTCTTAGTTTTATTTTTGTACAGCATATTGCTGCGTATATGAAAGTCCTCGCCTAGAGGCTCTTGCGAGATCCCACCCCATACCACAGCGAACGCGTCATGATTCTAGACCCGTGGTTCACGACAATGTGGGTTAATGATTACAAACAGTGGAAGATGAAACCGAAGAGGGTTTCTTTCAGAGATACCCCGTATGAAGGTTGGATGAACGGTACGGCTGGAGAAGACCCGACAAATAAGAAGTGAATAACAGATGTGGATCACTTGTTTCTTGTCCACCAAACCGGAGGTAATCATTGGGTGACCCTTCACGTGAACTTGCCTAGGTCTCACATCGATTGCTATGATTGCATCGTCGGAGAGCATACTCCGATTAGCGATGGAAAAATCCTGGAAGCTTGTAGGCCGTTCACGAGGATGATTCCACAGATGATGAGTGAAATTCTTCCTCCCGAAGTTTGTATCCCGCAATACGACCAATTTTCATTCCGGCGGAGGCACATGACAAAGGTCCCGCAAAATATTATCACCGGGGACTGCGGCGTTTACACGTTAAAGATTCTTGACTGTTTATTGCTTGGTGTTTGTTTTGATGGCATTACTGATTCAAATATCCAGGGTCTACGGGTTAAGATGGCAGCAGAGATCTTCGATGAACTACCTGTAAGAATGCCCCTTCAGTTTCTTGAGCAGTGATTTGCTTTTTCGAACATGTCTGTATCTTTTAGGAATTTTAGCATGTGATTGTACTAAGTATTTACACTTTAGGATTGATATCCAGAATTATGTCTGTATGAATCTATTATTATGTTAATTATAACAAAAACCAATGTAATGGCTGACTTATCATCGCTCGATTCGTTTTACGGCTGAGCTATGCTAACGTAAGGGCTGACTTGTCATCGCTCAAATCGTGCTACGACTGAGTTATGATACCGTGACAGCTGAGTTATCGTTGTTTAATTCGATGTTTAGCTGAGTTATTCTAATGCGGTGGCTGACTTGTCATCACACAAATCGTGTGATGGCTGAGTTATTCTAACGTGGTGGTTGACTTGTCAAACCCAAACTTCCATCCCATCAAAGAAACCAAACGTCACTGTAGGACTATACATACACCGGTTTACGACAATTGAATAGTCAAGAACCCAAACGTCGTTAGAGGACCAAACGTCGTTAGAGGACCAAACGTTTGATTCATAGGGATACAAAATAAAAGAAATAAAATAAAGAACCATAACTCAACAAAAGATGTTTACATCTGATATTTCATACGGACAACTGAAAAAAAGTTTTCCGGTTGTAACAGGATCACGAGAAGTGGCAACGACAACCTTAGCATTGCAATCACACTCGATCGGAACGCCCTTATCGCGCCTCCTGTTTTCGTCGTACCTCGTTCGCATCCTTATTTCCATACGATCGAGCTCCTACATTAACACAAACACGATATACTCCACGTTAGATGGGTAACGATTTGTACTATTCAGATGTGGAGATAAATACCTCATCGACACTAGAGTCGCCGTGGAAAATAGACCCTTGAGCCATCATCTTGACTGCAATTAGTATGGTACTAAAGCACTGATTCTATATAGTCGTGTCTGCTACAAAAAGCACTAATCAAACGACGGCGTCTTGTATTGGCTGAATAAATTTAGAAGTGGCTGAGTTATAAAAGCATTGCGGCTGGGTTTTCCCTGAGTTGTGGCTGAGTTATGTCGGGATACAATATGTTATTACTTAGCGTGTTGCTTTAGGTTGGGTTTATCGAGATTCTTTATTATATCATTATCGAGATAACAAACAGCATCTTTATGGGGAACCGCCAGTAATAATTGGGTCCACATGCACAGGAACACAAGCCAGCAGTTAATATTCAAAATAATTCGAACGTGTTCGAAATTATTCGAATAACTAAACCCTCAAATTTTCTGTTTTGCGGTAGAATATTATAACGTTACGGCTGAGTTATGCCAGGAAATTTCGTGGTTTGACCGAGTTATGAGAAACCATATGTTATTATGACATTTCAAACCAGCCATCAAATTGTTGGTTATATTAGTAGCGTGAAGATGTGTAATTTGAAAACAGAAAATAACTTTTATTTTCAGTAAGTGTCGATTGACAAACTATGTTGGCAAAACTTCTAAGAATGATGTTGTTGGATAGAGTATGATGTTGGATAAAGTAGGATGTTGGATAAAGTTTATAGGATATGAGCTAGTTTCACGATTCCACTATTTGAAATGTGGTTATGATATGTAAATTACTTGATTCTACCAACTGTTGGCTCAAGAAAAGCACTTTCAGGGTTTGGCCGAGTTATAACAGTTATATGGCTGAGTTATTCCTGAGTTGTGGCTGAGTTATGTCAGAAGATTTCGATGTTCGAACTACTTATGAGAAAACCAAATGTTATTATGAGATTTGTATACAAGCATTATTGTTGGTTCTATTGATGTCCCTTACTCAGGTAGAATAGAATATTGCTGAGTTTTGCTTTTTGCTGAGTTTATCGAGAAACAATTATTATGTTATTGTCGAGATTAAAAAAGTGTTTTTATGGGGAACCGCCAATAATGATTGGTTTCATATTCACACGAACACGTCAAAAGATAATAATTCAAACGAGTTTGAATTGATTCGAATAACTAAACCCTCAAATATAAATATTCTGTTTGGCGGTAGAATACCAATACGTTACAACTGAGTTATTGCAGAAGATTTCGTGATATGGCCGATTTATGAGAAACCAAGTGTTATTATCAGATTTCAAACTAGCCATCAAATTGTAAGCTGACAATTTTGTGTCAAAATTTAAAATCTATTATATCCAAACAGAAAATAAAGACACAATGCACTAAGTGTCGATTGATAAACTATGTTGACCAAACTTCTACGACTGATGTTGTTGCGACTTCCCTTTTGTTGGATAGAGTATGATGTTGGATAAAGTAGGATGTTGGATGAAGTATATAGAATATGAGCTAGTTTCATGATTCCACTAGTTGGAATGTGATTATGATATGTTAGTTACTTGATTGTCCCAACTGATGGCTTAAGAAAAGCAATTTCAGGGTTTGGCCGAGTTATAACAAAGTGATGGCTGAGTTATGCCTGTGATGTAGCTGAGTTAGGTCAGAATACAGAGAAAAATAGTCTCCGTTATTGACCAGATACGACGTCGGTTTGTTCCAGAGTCTCTATTATTTACCAGATACGACGTCGTTGTGACAAAAACCAAATGAACACGGACACACTTATAAATCCCCAAAATCAAACCCTAAGTTTTAAAATTCCAATTTCTGATTTCAGATCTGGAGCTGCATTCCTTCTTGCTTTTCGTCTCCGAATTTCCCAACTAAAAATTAAAGAAATGAGTAGCAATTCTGAGAATTCGATTGCGAGTACACAATCCGTCAGCCGTTGGGGACGTCGGTTACCATCGAAGTGTCATTGCGGATTAGACGTGGTCATCTATACATTGACGCCAGCAAAGAACCGTGGAAGACCATACTTCCGTTGTCCTACGCGTAAAGATGTAATTGATTTGAGGATTTTATTGGTTTCGTTGTTAATTGATTTGTGATTGAATATGCAGGACCATTTGTTTAAATGGATTGAAGATGGTACATACGAAGTGGTCGTAGACAGTTGGCCGAAATTGTCCGCCATGGACAGTGAGATAAACGCAGCCAAGTCCGAGGTTGCTGTCGAGCTAGAAGCGTTACAGGTGATGGTGAAAGAACTGAAGGAAGAAGTGATGAGGAGCGAAAGGGAAAACCAGAAATGGAAATTGATGATCAAACTTTGCTGCTTTTGTCTTGGCTTTATTATCATTGTCATTGTACTTGGTATCTTAATGTTCCCAAAAACCAAGGAACAGAGGCTTCTTCTTGGCTACTAGTTTGTTTGATGTTTGGATGAATTGTTTGCTTTTGGAATCCATTATGTGATTGATGTTTATCTCAGCGTCTAGGGTTAATTCGTTTTTTTGGTTCAAATATTAGCTTGCAATGAAATGGAACTTTGTGTTCGGCCAAGCTAATCCAATGTTGTGGCTGAGTTAATATAATGTTATTGCTGAGTTAAGCTAATATTATAGCTGAGATTTTTACAACGCGTTGACTGAGTTATACTGGTAATGTTGTGACTGAGTTAATCAAACGCTATGACTGAGTTATTCTTTGTTGTGTCTGCGTTAATCTATTGATACGACTGAGTTATTATAATGGTGTGGCTGAGTTAATCAATTTATATGGCTGAGTTAATTTTGAGTTACGCCTGAATTATGATAAAAT